GCCGCAAAAATCTATTCTATAAGCAGAAATATGTTAAAAATTTAACATAAATGTGTTAATTTTATGCGTTAAATCGAAGATATTAACAGGTACTAATTAGTAGGCTTTAACACTTAACATATAAGAAATTATGACTTTTTATTGTTTAATTCAACTTATAATGCACGAAGATCATGAAAATAAACCATTTTGAAAGTACTCAAGTAATTTTAACAGTAGAAATTAGACAAATTGTATTTATAAATTATATTTTTTATAGTGTATATAAACTTTTTGCAGTTAGTAATTGATTTGCTGTAGAAGGGCACCATTATAAGGTTACTGGGGTTAGTTTTGTTTATATTGAAAATTGATGGCCTACCAAGTAGTTTTTAAAGTAAATTCGGCCGCTACTTTTTTCAATATTCTTGTGCAAAAACAGGCAGATACAATAAATATGACAAGATGAATGACATTTATTTGACAGACCTTAAAACTTAACCAAACTTTTATGCCAAATTTGAAATACTTTTAACGTATGTTTATTTTTTCTGTAAATTTAACGTATGCGTTAATTTTATTTTTACAGAATTACAATTTATGTTAAAATCGTAAAATTTAACACCCGTTAAAAATAAACGTATTGAATTACAGAATTACCACTTATGTGATTTTTTGAAATAGAAAATATTTTTGGACTAGTTTCTGTTATATTGCTTTTTCATCTATTTTATAATGAATTTATCCTATTTTAAACCTATTTAACGTCATTACTTAAAACTTTAAATTTTAACGTTTATTTTTCGTAATTTTTGGACTAGTTTTGGTCTATCAAGCTTTTTAATTCGTTTTATAATTAATTTCTGTTATTTTAAACCTATTTAGCATCAATACTTAAAACTTGAAATTTAAAACGGTTTTTTTTCGTAATTTAACCAGTTTCTGAGATTTTTCAAAATAGAAAAGATTTTTGTTCGGCGTTGTCCGATTTCAATGATTCGGGGGTGCTTCAGGAGTGATCCCTTATAAATTTGGCCAAGATCTAATAATTGGGTTAATGAGAAAAACCTTCAACCTCTTAATTTTTTATATATTTTCAGCGACAATTCTTTACAACTTTGTCCGATTTCTACGATTCTTTTTTGTTAGAAAGGGTGTACCTCAGGGGTGATCCCATATAAATTTGGTCTAGATCTGGTGATGGTATCTGCACGATTTGAAGTAGATTTTTAAAAATTACTTTTATAACTTGTTTGATATAAACCTGATAGCTCAGTTCAACTTTATTAACTTTTCATAGCGCAACACGTGTTCAATTCCTGAAAGCAGCATTTATTTTTATTATTTGAAAAATCTGAAAATTGAAACAATACGACTATCAGTGCTTATCTATTTTAAATATATTTTATTTATCTTAATATACAGTATGGTTCAAATGAAAGGAATAAATTCATTATAATGGAAGTAGCTGGTTTTTTGAAAAAATGCTCGGACAGGTTAATTTTGTTTACTCAAAGCGCAATTCTTTAAATAGAATTCAATTTTCCCCCACTTTCCATTTTTGGGCAGTGACGTCATTGACAAATTTTTTAAATAGTAACCTCAATTTTTTTTTCTTGATTTTGATAGATCTTGCAATTTCCTACTCGGAAACATAATATTTGAAATATCTTACATAACAATTTTTTTTGAATAGAAGACATTTAAAGATCAGACACATAATTTTTATTTTATTTTGAAAATACAATAAATGAATAAAAGATAATTATTTGTAATTAAATGCTTAATCTAACAAAATAATAATAAAAATAATAATAATAAAAAGAATTTGTAAAATTGTCAATAAATTCTTTTTATTATTATTATTATTTTTTTAGATTAAGCACTTAATTACAAATAATTATCTTTTATTGATTTATTGTGTTTCAAAATAAAATAAAATTTATGTGTTTGATCTTTAAATGACTTTTTTTCAAAAAAAATTGTTATGTCAGATATTTCAAATATTATGTTTCCGAGTAGGAAATTGCAAGATCTATCAAAATCAAGAAAAAAAAAATGGGGTTGCTATTAAAAAAAATTGTCAATGACGTCACTGCCCAAAAATGGGAAGTGGGGGAAAATTGAATTTTATTTAAAAAATTGAGCTTTAAGTAAACAAAATTGACTACTTCCATTATAATGAATTTATTCCTTTCATTTGAACCATACTGTATGATCCCTACAGTGTAGCTTCATGTTATTTATTTTTTACTATTTTAATTACTGTTCAAATTAGATAAGTAGGTATTTATCTACACCAGTGTTTCTCAAACATTTTTGGTGACGGAACCTTTTTGAAATGCGAAATATTTGACGGAGCCCTAAATACATTCTATGTTGTTATGTTATGTTGGGAATGGGGTGTTAATACACTGCGACATAAAATATCTATTGTGCCCCCTTCTGTCGCCAATGCACCAAGGAAATGTCTCAAGGCCTATAACGACCCTTCCAATCCTATCTTCTCAAGGAAGTGTAGGATTTAGAGTGGCTTCAAGTTAGGTAAATCTCCCTCTTCTATTTGATATCCTCCTAGGTATAGTGCCCTTGGATTCTGAAGTGCTACACATTCAGTTAGAATGTGAATGGAGGTTTCGTCTTCCTCCTCACATAATCTGCACTCACTATCCTCTACAAACATATTATAAAAAAAGGTCCTCAAGCCAGGTCCCTCCCTTTTGTGGCGATAGTACTGCTTTTTTTATGAGTATTATTTGGCGGAGCGCACTTTGAGTATCACTGATCTACACTAATAAAAATGTTCTTGTTCACGGTTAATTTTATTTGTATTCTCTATCTGTATTTTATTCTAATATTTTTTTGTACCTAATGTTATTTTACCTTTATCAACCTACGAAAGTGATTGCAAATGGAATCACAATGGTTTTACTGTCGACAAAACACCACCCGTAAAACACTTTAAAAATTATTTACTATGGCATATAAAAAACAAATCTAAAACCAGCCACATCTTGATTGTACCTCTATAACCAAATTTCCTGGTTTTACAAGTTTTGGATGAAAACATTTTGTGGTTGTAGAAAAAATTATGTACATACTTGGTAAAACCGATTGTTCACCCTCGTAATGTAATATACTATTCCAGCAGAAGTTCGCAGAATTGCAAGAGGAGTTTGCAGCGGCATTTTATTTTGATGATTATATGTTTAAAAAATATTCGAGATAATTTGTTAAAACGTAAAACAGAAACAACAAAAAATTGACAAATAAACAAAGTTTTAAATTTAGAGTTTTTCTATTATTATTGACTAAATATCACATTCTTCAATAAAATTCATTATTCTCATGGCTTGTCGGACTTCGAATAGAAATAACATAAAGCGCGTTTGAAGCGAATTACGAGCTGTCGGACCGGAAGTTCTCTGCATTGTGATGGGATATTGCAGCAGGATTTTGGTCTGACGATAATAATGTGTTTATGACAATATATTAAAACGTTAGATGGAGGCAACACAAAAAATTCAATAAAAATTACTTTAAGGACGTCTGACACCTCTTTAGCAGTGACCTAGCTCTCTGACGATTTGAAATATCTCATCTGTAACCTTCAAAGAAGCGGTGTATGATCCGAAGGTACGATCGTTTTTTAACAGATATTATTTAAAAATTCGAGTTGTCTGACGTCTCGTTTGCAGGAGTTCTAAACTAAATCCTTGAACTGATGGTCAAACCAACAATTCCAGAAAACTTCAGCCGAAGGTACGAAGGAGACCGGGGAACGTTGTAACACGGGGCAGGTAGTAATGTTGCCCGTAGCACCCAAGGAGTACTTTCTTTTATGCCATCTGGGTTACTCGCGAGCAGCCCTAGAGCTGTTCCTAATTCTAACCGAACGTTCTTTTTTAACGGTGCTTGTTGATCTGGAGCAACTCCTACCGGTTCTACCTTGTCCCCCAAGCACTTGCTCGATAATGGATTCACATAATTCTTATCTTGTCAATTGTAGACCATTGTCAATCGTTCTTTTTTGACGTCATAGGATTCATACACCAAGAACATTAAACCCTTAAAAAGAAAGCTCCCAATACGTCAGGGCTTCGATTTCGTGTATCAATCCGCTCCTGAACAGCGTTGGGTTTACTAGTACAATTGTACTAGATTCAGTACATTTTAACCATTCATAAATGCTAGTACCACAAATGATAAAAGTGTATAAATCTAGTACATTTTAAATATTTTGCTGGATCTTCTTGAATAATGCATTCTATGATTTCGAATTCTAATTTCTATGCTAGACAATTAGGCATTCCAACGACCTGTCCAAATGGCTACCAGTGGGTAATGACAGTTTAGATATGGCAACCCTGTTGTCATGCTGTCATTAACAGGGTCAATGATACATATATAGTTATATAGATTGCTCAAAGCTGGTGGTTTACGAGCGACCATATTGCCTGGCAAATATTTATTAATTTGAATTGGTTTAGCAAAAATGTGTTTTAAAACCAATTTTTAGCCTTTAGATATTTAAAAAAAATAATTGCTTACATTTTTACTTCAAGGCATAAGCTTATGTTTATTTGGAAAAATATGGATGATCAATCTATGTAACTATCTATTTCATTGACCTTGTCAAATCACCAGGCCTACAGGGTTGCCATAATTATGCCATATCATAACCCGTCAAAACCCACTGGTAGCCATTCAGTTTGCAATGCCTAATAGACACTTCTGACACTCCCAATGCGATACTTAAGGTGCCTTTTAATCATCCGCTTCTGCTTCGGAGTTGTCGGTTTTCTTGTTTTAATCTAACAGGTTAAAACGACTAAACCAACAATTCCTGAAGCAGAAGCGGATGATTAAAACGCACCTTATGTAAATACAAATACGGTAATTCCCAAACGCAAAGTTTCCGAATTTACTGAATTTATATATTACCATTTCTAATTTTTACAAATAACAAGTGTTAAGTAACGGCGAAATATTTATTTAATGTAAAACAGCTAATCAGTGTAATGGGTAGGTATGTTTTTCTTCTGATTATAAACTTTTATAATTGATTAAAAAAATTTAACAGATTTTTAATAAAAACGCAAGAAAAGCCCACGGAGACGATTACAGAAAATAAACTGATGGAAGTTGATACGCAACCATCAACATCATTTACCACACAGAAAGACGAAAAAAATGAAATAACACAAAACACTATTATTTTAAGTGAAAGTGACAATAGTAGTAGGTCATCTGATGAAAAAACGATAAAGAAAAATAAATATATACAGAAATTTAAAGACTCATGGCTTGAAGACATAAAATTCAACACATGGTTAGTGAGAAATCCAAGGCAACAAGATCAGCCCTTTTGCAAATTATGTTCCAAGGTAATTTTGGGTGGAATTTTTCATATTAATAGACATTCAACTTCTACAATGCACCAAAAAAAAAACTAAAAAGTGCCATGGAAACTCCACGGGTTACAGAATTTTATAATAAAAAAAAATAAGAGAAAGTCACAAGTTTGGCCAAAACTGCAGAATTGAAAATGGTAGGTTTCATCGCTGAACATAATTTGGCTTTTTCGGTTTTAGATCATCTTCCAAAATTAATTAAGTCAATTTGTAGTGACTCTGAAATAGCAAAAAAAATTAAATTAGACAGAAAAAAGGGAACCAACATTTGTAAAGATGTAATGAAGCGTTAAAATTTATGTTTTATCAAAAAAACTACGAGAAAACAAATTTTCGTTAATAATAGATGAAACCACCGATGTTTCAAGTTTAAAAAGTTTGGCAATAGTTGTTCGTTTTTATGATAAAGCTATTGAAAAAGTTTGTGATAAATTTTTAGCTTTAATTAGAATAGAAGATGCAACAGCAAGCGGAATTTTCAGCGCTATTTGTAAATGTTTTGAGGAAAATAAAATTCCACGTGAAAATTTAATTGGTTTTGGAGCAGACAATGCATCAATCATGATGGGTCACAACAGTGGGGTACAAAAAAAGTTGCTAGATTTTAATTCTGATTTGTATGTATTAGGTTGTACATGTCACTCTTTAAATTTGTGCAGTAGTTCTGCCTGTAGTAAACTTCCCAATTCACTAGAAGAATTAACAAAGGATATTTATTCATACTTTTCAGACAGTAGCAAACGCATTGAGGCTTTTACAGAATTTCAGTTATTTACAAACACAAACATACATAAAATTTTAAGACTCTCACAAACAAGATGGTTAAGTTTGCAAACAGTGGTTAACCGAATTTTAGAGCAATGGCCAGCTTTAACATTATTTTTTTCCAATGAAGTCCTGGTAGAACATGTTACAAAAGCTAAACATATACAAAATGCTTTAAAAAACATCGTTTTTAAATTATATTATTTATTTTTATCATAATTTTAGATATTGTTAATAAAATCAATGTAGAGTTTCAGGCCGAGGGATATACAATGCACATTTTACTTAAAAGAGTAACAAATTTGCATAAAACCATATTAAATAATTTTATGCGCAAGGATTATATTGAAAAATGTAAAGATTTTGATCAAATTTCTTTCCATCCCTCTAACTATCTACAATTAAGTGACATTTATTTTGGGGCTAAATGCGAAATTATTTTTTTACAGCATTCAGTTCCAGATAATGAAATAAATAAATTTAGGATTTCCTGCTTAGATTTCCATGTTCAATTATGCAAAGAAATAAGAAACCAATTTAAATTTCATGATCCTGTATTAAATTTTGCAAAAAATTTAGATGCTAAATTAGTAACGGCGTCTCCTGAACATATTTTGCCTATGTATCTGAGATTTAAGTCTACTTTTTTCAAAATCTAGATGTTGAAAAATTAAGTACGGAATGGCGAAACATAGCAGGAAATGATTATTTATTAAAATATGTTGACAAAACTGTTGAAGAGTTTTAGACCGTTGTATTTAATATGAGAGATTTAATAGAAAATTTCATGTTTCCAACTTTAACACCATTTATCCAAGCATTTCTTTCCTTGCCGCATTCTTCTGCAGCAGCAGAAATAATTTTTTCTAGTCTAAATGGAATAAAAACTAAAAATAGAAACAAATTACAACTAAAAACTTGTGAAGCCCTACTACATACAAAATCAGTTATTACAAACACATGTTATAAGTTTGAACCTTCTCAGCATTTAAAAAACATTAACATTAATCCCTAATTAATTGATGATGATGATGACGACAATGACGTCATCACATTTTAAATTTTGTTTCAATTTTTATTTTTCCATTTTTTTATTTATCCATAGGTATAAAGATATATTTTTATTACACCTATTTTGTTTTTCTATTAAAAATAAGTTTTTGTTTTTATTTTAAAATTTTATTATTTAACCATATTACGTAAAGATATATTTTTTTGTTTTGCGTGTTTTATTTTATATTTTTTTGTTTTAAATAAAAGTTCATATTAATTTCTTTTTAAATTTTTTATTTACCTATAAATATATTTTTGTTATATCTATTTTATTAATTTTTCCGTTTAAAATGAGTTTGTTTTCTTATTTGAAATTTACCGCCAAATCTAGTACGTTTTAGTACAATGATGATCTGAATTTTAGTACAAGCTGTTGCTACTAAAAACCCAACGCTGCTCCTGAATGCTTCAGTAGCTCTCGAAGTGCGGAGGTGTTAGCACGTCGCGTTTTAACCGTAAAAAAATGTTTATTTGATTGCCAAAGTAACTTTTTGAGGTAAGGAATATTTTTAAATATCTTCCTTATCCTAGTAGTAGTAAAAACATATTATATTTCTAAAAGAATACGTGGTCTGGACAATCATTTAGCCAGTTAGTCATTTTGTTTAGCTCTTTTTTATGTTTATGTTATTTTTTTATTCTTAGGGTAAGATGTAAGAAATTCTTTGGGGTACATTGTAACGTGTTACAACATACCCCGTACTATACATTTTGTTGTTTTTATTTGTAGTATGGGGAACTACACGAAAAAAAGTAAGAGGAGTCAGTCACCCAAGGAAGTAATAGAGAATGCCGTAAATAGAGTTTTACATAATAATGAATCGGTTAGATCAGTGACCAGAGATGCTATTTGTCATGTAACTCTCTCCAGATATGTTAGGCGATTTAGGCAAAACAACAATAATGGCAAAGATACAAGTTAAAAAGCATATGGCTACAGTAAACACAAACGTGTATTCAACGAGGTCCATCAAGAGGAGCTAGTAAAGTACATGAAACACTGTTCTAAAATATTAGAAAGCTGGCCTATGAATGTGCAACTGCTTTCAATTTTAAAGTTCCTGAGTCGTGGAAAAGAAACCAAGCTGTTGGGGAAGACTGGCTAACAAAACTTTCAAAAGTATGTAAAATGCCAGTAGCAGCAAAAAAGAAGTTAAAATCAGCAAAGAGGAAAGTGCTAGTATAATCATCTGACGAAGATAATACCATTTGTATTGTTTTCTGCGATAATTACGGCAACAGTAAACCAGGAGAAGAGTGGATTCAGTGCCGTAAATGCAATGAGTGGGCACACGAAGAATGCAGAGTGCACACCGTGTATATCTTCAGATTATACGTGTCACCATTGCGATTCTGACCAGTTAAAACATTGAAAATGAGTGTATCTGTTATTTGTTTTTTAATTTATCCACAAGATTTCTTTATTTTTATCAAATCAGTTTTGTTTTAATTAAAAAATGAATTTTGTTTACTTTTTTACTTAATGTTTTTTATTTGATTTTTTTAATAAAGCCAGTAATAATGCAGCTCTGTATGTTTTATTTCATCAAAAATATTACAAAACATTTATTTGTAACATTATGTATGCGATTACGCAATGGTACAACTTACCCCGGACATTGATACAATTTATTCCATGAACGGGGTACATTGTAACAAATGCAAAGCTTCATAATATCTTGAACCAACCAAAAAGTTTCAAATACATTTAAAAACAAGATATCAGGTAACTTTAACAATTGTTTACACAATAAAATATGAACAGTAAAAATTTTGAAAAATAAAAATGACTGAAAAAAAATCAAAATCTTAAAAATGTTACAACCTACCCCGGTCTCCCCTACCTTTTTGCGGACGCTAGCTTTTAGACTAATATGAATATGCCTTACGTGTACGACAACATAAATTATATTTATATTGTTTGTAGACCTAATGATGGCACACCATAGCTGAAACCAGGTGCCGTTACAATTTTTAATTGGAAATATGTAGTACCATTTTTTCTTTGTGGATTTGTTGACCAGGGACATGTCCAGTAAATCAAAATAATAGTAATTGCTTTTACTTAAAAATAAGCTTATTTTTCAATAAAAAAATTTATGACCCTTACTTAATTTTCTCAGAGGCAATTATTAAATATCTAATAATTCTAGCTTCAATTTTGTTCATTGGAAATTTTTTTTTTCCAATTTTTAATAATAAAAATTGTTGCTTCATTTTTATTTACACTACCCAATAACGAATTATTTAATTTTTTTCTCATATTTTGGGTCTTCAAATCTGGTTTACCTCCAATTAAATACATATTAAAAATAACACTCAACTTTTGATTCACCTTGTATAGGATGATTGACTAGTGTGAAAAATTACTCAAATTCATGACACTCCTAAAAATTGACCATCAAATGCCACTGATTAAAATAATTATGGGTCTCTTGTGCTATACCGGTACGTATAGTTAACTCACTCCGAATAACAAAATAGTATAAAAATGGAATGCACTATATTTATAATAAAAACCCTGTAGTATCACGAAATAAAATCATAATCCAAATAGTTATGTAATTTGACTAGACGACAGAAATGGCCACCTTCTGGCCGTTATGCAGCGCGGGTTGCAATCTGATGGTGTGCCTCAGGGAGGTGGCCGATGTGGACCTTCTAGAAGAGTTAGTGACCGTCGTGGTGACGGTGCCTGTGGTTGCAGAAACGTCGTGTCCCATACAGTAGCCCGGCATGCAGACTGAGAGGCAGTTGGCCAGCCAGGTGAAGGGCGGCACATTTCTGCATGGATCGAGGTTTAAATGTTTTAGTATGTTGCCGCATCTATACAGAAAAAGTTAGTAACATTCAACATGTCGATTAGTTAAGATGTTTATTTTTTGCTGTATCATTTATACAGGGTGTTATTAAAATACATGTAAATATTAAAATAGAACATTTACAGCCGTATGCATAGTCGATCGCCAGCGACTCGTCAGATATTCATTTCGGCGTATCACCGGTATCTCTCGCATTTTATTCATGATTCATTTCTTAAATCTCAAAAAATAATGAACGAATATCAAATTTTTCCCTATAAAAGAACATGAAAACTTGCGTGAAATGACATTCCGGTGACAATCTCCGGCGAGTCACCAGCTTTTTGGGCTTTCGCCGGCGGATCGCCAGCGAATCGCTGGCGATACGCCGAAATGAATCTCTGGCGAGTCGCTGGCGATCGACTATGCATACGGCTGAGTCTCCAAGGATGTGCAAAAATACCAATAATTGAAAAGTTATTAACAATTAAAATGTGTGTTAAATCAGATTTACACTACTGAAGTTGGCATAGATCATGTACAAAATCTAGGTAACCTAAGGTTATTGACTGTGAATACCACAGTTTCGGCTTTTTATCTCGATATTCTATTTACCTTTGAGTAAAGAGAGGGAGGCCAAAAATGTTTATTAGTTTTACAATTGCATATGTAATAATTTTCGGATATACAGTATGTAACAGCCAAATGGAATAAATTCGGTAATAAATAAATGGAGGAGTTTTCGGAAAAACGCTCGAACACGTGTATTGGTATTTTTAGTTGCGCATATAAAAAAAACTTTTTATACAAGGTATGTCATGTAACAGTGGTCAATACCAATTTTCTTATTTTAAATACAACACCCTATATATTTTTCAATTTTTGGATTCTTCAGAAAATTCTAGACATATTTTATGTACTATGACCTATTGGGATCTAAAGATAAGCAATACGCCCTCTACTATGAACTGATGTCAAGTTTTGTTTATTGTTTATCAGACCATGTCAATAAATGTTATTTTAAAATTTAACAAGTATTTTGTTTAAAATATCTTATTTAATAATAAACTAATGCTTTAAATTTTTGTCATATATATTAAAATACAGAGTGGGCCATTAGTGCGTGGGTGCAAGATTGCGGGTTTATTAAGGTACATTTTTAAAATTCATTTTTGGGACATTGTGTAGGACCTCTAAGGCTACGACCTACCACTAGAGGTCAAATTATTTCCGGAAATTTTTTCGAGCTCATGAATATTTTGAAAATTTCCCGAGTCGCAGACGAGGGAAATTTTCTAAAAATATTCATGAGCGAGAAAAAATTTCCTGATATAAATTTGAACTCGCGTGGTATTCGGTAAGAAAATTCCACGCCGAATTATAATTGAAAATTAAATATTTTTAAAATTTATTTTTCGTTTCTCAACAATGCAAATTATTTTCTCCAAGTCACCAGTGAAACATAAAAGGTGTTGTCGCTTTGATTGTTGAGTTGTCATGGTAACTAAGTGAGACCCTAACCTCGAATATAATTTCAGTTTTGAAGTTGTCAAGCGGCCCGACGTAAAAAAATGTTTCGCTGCAATTATTTAGGCCTTCAAATTGCTTATTTCTGCTCATTGTAGTTGCATGGGAATACCATTTGAAAATAGAAAATAGTATATTCTTTAATTTTACGTAAGTTTTGAATAACTACAAGTGGTAGAAAATTTCTGCGTTTTTATTAACATGCGTTATGAGCGCTTTAAAATTGTATGAAATTCATAACCAGCGTCAGCAAGCATCAATCGTAGGAGGCTGTGATCATTGTATTTTGACAGTTCAAAACATTAAATAACTCGCGTTTTGTTGCGATAAAGAATATTGCACAGCAAGTAAAACCAACAAAATTACCTATTTGTTTAAAAATGAATCGATTTGAAAATCATACGCTATGCAAAATATGCGTGAAATTGTCTGATGTAATGATGAACCATTGCACCATGACTTACTTACTCGGATTAATAGAGGATTGTGGCTCCAACTTGAAAAACGAAAATTTGTTCCGAATTGTCCACGAATATTTGCACCTAAACTACGCAAAATTCAAAGTGCTGAATGGGAAAAAGGTAAATAAATTAGTGTCTAAATATTATATATATATTATTAGACATAGACACATAATTCAAAGCATCCAAAGTCCTGCATTTTCGCCATTAAGAAGAAAAGAAGTGGCCGAAGAATATAGAAAACACCTTAGCATTGTAACTAAAATGTATCAAAACTAAACCTATTATGTGAACAAATAAAAACCTGTCTGTCAAAAATGGTCTGTTATTGTAAACGTCAAAAAATTTCCAGTATAATTCGCTGTTGGGTACCCCACGAGAAAAAAATTTCCACTAAAATACCTCCGTTGCCATGGTGATCTGTCAAAAACACGTATTTTGATTGGTTCAAAATTACAGGTGTGGAATTTTCGATAAAATTCCATTTGTTCTACAAGGTGATTTATATCGAAGTTATGTTTTTTAAATGGAACCCCCTGTATATTATTGCATATTTGGATTCCTCGGCAAATTTTAGTGTGACTTTATGTATCACACATGGTATCTAAAATGAGTCGTTAAGCAGTAATTCATTATTTTTTCAAAAAGTAGATGTCTAGTAAAATATGAATATCGCAGTTATTATAAAACTTAGAAGGCCGTGACTCTACAGTGTTACTAAGCATGAAATATTCTAACATTTGCCAGACGATCTAAATCAAATCCTTTTCGTGTTTAAAGTACGCCAATTTGCAAAATTTCAATCCAAGATAACTTGATTATTTTAAATGGTACTACCAAATTTATTTCATTTCATTACATGCAGAATTCGATTACCTTTCTATTGATATAAAAATATGTTGATATTTATCTTTTACAGATTTTTTTTTAAAAATCTAATAATTCACAGTATTTTTCAATTTTTAAAAACTTTTAATTAGTAGGCTGTGAAAATAAAGTAAAGCTGTCACTTTTTGTGACATTAGAAATTAGTTATTAAAACTCTTTCTAGTTTTGCTCAAGTCGTTCTAAATTTAAGTGATAATAATGGTACATATTTCCCAAAATGAATTAATTGATATGATTTTCATTCTCGGAGTATGCTCTAGAAATCCGTTTTTAGCAAGCCGTGTTTATAAAGAAAGATATACCGAACGAGAACGTCATCCAAGAGAAGAATCATTTAGATAGGTTTATTGCAACAGGAAATATTTCTTATATCCAAAAACAAGAAAGAACTAAATTTGTTGTAAATGAAGAAAATGAAACTAATATTTTAACTGCAGTAGTAGAAAACCCTCATACTAGTACTCGCCAACTTGAAAGAGATTTTCAAATAAGCCGAACCTCTATCAGAAGAATAATAAATAAAAATAAATTCCATCCTTATTATATTCAACTTCACCTAGAGCTCAAAGAAACAGATTATCAACACCGGATACATTTTTGCAATTGGGCAGAAGAAAAATTAAATGAAAATGAATATTTTCAAAACAAAAATTGTTTACAGTTGAGTGTACCTTTAATCGAAATGGTTATATTAATCGGCACAATGTTCATTATTATTCAGATGAAAACCCTCACTATTTCAGAGTCAATAGTAAGGAGAAATGGTCGGTTAATGTTTGGGCAGGCATAATAGACACTTATGTTATTGGTCCTTTCTTTTTTGATGATGTTTTAAATTCAGAAACTTGTTTAAATTTTTTAAATAACCATTTATTTGCTCTCCTTGAAGATGTACCACTTGCTCAAATTAGAGATATGTATTTTCAACAAGATGGAGCACCTCCACATCGTGCCCGTGTTGTAAGCGCATGGCTCAACAATACATTTAATGGAAGGCGGATTACAAGGGATGGACCATTGCGATGGCCAGCCAGATCTCCAGATATTACTCCAATGGACTTTTTTTATGTCAAAGAAAAAGTATATGCGGAACAACCAACCATATCTGAAAACATGAAAAACAGGATCAGAAACGCTTTTGAAGAAATTAACCCAGAAATATTGGATAGGGTTAAAATTTCTTTTCGTCGAAGAATCCAAGTTTGTTTAGAACAGGGTGGTAGACATTTTGAACATTTAATAAAATAATTACTATTTGTAATTTTTAACGGTCTACTAATTTCAAAGAGATTAGAAAAATTGAAAAATTCTGTGAATTAATAGAATTTTTTAAATAAAAAGAAATCTGTAAAAGATAAATATCAACATATTTTTATATCATTAGAAAGGTAATCGAATTCTGCATGTGATGAAATGAAAAAAAAATTGGTAGTCCCATTTCAAATAATCAAGTTAGCTTGGATTGAAATTTTGCAAATTGGCGTAGAGATTACTTTAAACACGAAAAGGGTTTGACTTTAATCGTCTGGCAAATGTTAATACATTTCATCCTTAGTAACACTGTAAAATCACGGCCGTCTTAGTTTTATAATAACTGCGATATTTAAATTTTACTAGACATCTACTTTTTGAAAAAATAATGAATTGCTGCTTAACGACTTATTTTAGATACCATGTGTGATATATAAAGCATAACTTTGATATAAATCACCCTGTAGAACAATAGGAATTTCATCGAAAATATTTATATGTTGTAACGTTAGAGGTCCTACATCATGCCCCAAAAATTAATTTTAAAAATCTGATGTGTCCAACACATGACTTTCCTATCTAGTTTTTATAGGATTTTTTCGGTTATTTTGTACAACCTATCGCAGCATCTCTATAAATGTTTAGAGGATAAACTAAATATATACATTGCCCACATACCTACATCTACCTCGAAACATTTTTCTATAGATATTCATTGAAAACGAAAATACTGAAAAATTTAAATTTAGCACTTTTCCATTACGGTCCATTTTAGAAAAATCATGTATAAACAAAAATTATAGAGATCAATATCGCAAACAACTTTTAGTTCAACAATTTTCATAAAAATCAGAATTTTGCACATTTTGTCAAATTTCTCGAATACGGACCATTTCAG